GAGGGCCTGGTCGGCTGCCCGGGCTGCACTGTTACCGTCTTGTATCGTTGCCATACGGTATGGATCTGCAGTAGACAGCACTGAATAGGAGGCCAGAGAGTCTAATGCGTCCAGGGCCGCGATCGATCACTTTCCTAACAGGGCTGGGACCATCTCCTTTCTCGACAGGCAGAGCTGCCGGAACTCAAAGTACTCCTATCCTTGTTGTCCGCCCGTCGTCGGACCTCTAGGTCGGACCGAGGAGAGAAAATTACATCCTCCCTCCTGCTTTATTCTCGAAAAAAATGGCCAATTTCCTCTGGTGCCAGTGCACACACCAGTCAGGTGGGACCCGAGACCACTTGTACACTCCCTGGCTGATGATGTCATTAGGTGTCTTAAAATAGAGGGGAACGCTCGTCGGTCCGAGGAGGTATCTTGTCCTGACGAAGGCCTGGGCCTTGTAGGGGCTGGAGAGTTGCTGAGACCGACTCCTGGTATGAGACGGCGTAGTCAGGCAGCCACTGTGAGGACCCGGCCCTCCTTGGCTCGGAACCGGACTCCGAGAACACTAATGGGTTCGGGGAAAGGGAGCGAGGGTGGGATCTCCGTTCCACAGTATGTTGGATGGAGGGGGCCTGGGCCTGGGCCTGTTGCTGCTGCAGCTGCTGCATCCCGAGCCAGGAAGACAGAGCCTCCAACATCTTCAGTGGCAGGGCTGGGGTGATTGGGTGCACTGTCCGGGGTGGCCAGCATCTCTGGCTGTGACGTCTGAGCGACTGGGGACTGGCCTTGATAGAGCGATGGAGGGGGTAGAGGGCCATCCCACCCGGCGGCACCATGGAACGTTGCCTGGAACGGGTGGAAGGAGCCGAAGGATGTCGGTAGGGGAGAATGGTCCGTTCTAGCCGAGCCACTTGGCGAGGGCTGGTGAAGGTGGAGGTCTGGAAGGGGAAAGGACCCCCTCTCCAAGGACACTATGGGCTGCAGGGACAACCCAGCTGAGGCCCTGGTGGAGTCGCGGGGTTCGAGGATCGCCGCTTCCTCTTTTTGAGTCCGCTTCTCCTGGTGGCCACTCTCCTTAGGCTACTTGGGGCTGTGGTGCCTGCTGTAGAAGGACTTAGCGAGACTCCCGGAGCGGTGATGGTGGCGACTGGAGGAGGAGTGAGCACTCGCCTCCCGGAACGTGCTGTGGAGAGCCCGAAGCCCCAGGGCGGGGAGAGGTGGGCTCCACTGAGGCCGACTGGGAAGCCGGATGGGGGGAGACCTCGGCTTAGGGTCCTCGGTAGAGTGGACTCTCCCCGGGGCCCTCAGTGGCGGCACATCCGCAACTGGGAAGAGATCCTGGTCCTTCCAGGAGAGGACGGATGCCTCGGTGTCTGTAAGAACTGGAGGTTGTCGCCCAGCGATGCCGAAGCTGACTGTCAGAAAATGTGGAAAGAAGCCACATCTCCTTCAGCATCGTGAAGGAGAACTGCTTCCCACTCAGAGCACACCGTACAGCGACTCAGGTCGAACCTGTCGACGTCCACGCACGGCCAACCTTTTGGAACCTGTCCAAACACCTCGGGGCCCACCCGGGTACATTATCTGGGCAGGGGCGAGGATGAAGGCGAACAAACCAGAGAAGAAGAAAGGCAGGCAAACCGGCAAAAAAATTGAAGATGGGGAAGAGATGGGATGATGGGAGAGGGGGAGAGAACCCCCTAACCCCCTCCCGCACACCTGCCCCACCGAAATCCTATCGAAAAAAGCGGCCACCACCCGTCCTAGAACAGACAAAGTAGGGAGGAAGGCGGTACTACAGATGCCTCTCCAAGCCAAAAAAAATAAACCAAGCCAGACAAAGAAAGCGAGTAACGACTCAGCGTAGCATGTGTCTGACAAAATAATACACAAACAGAGGTAGAGGGAGAAATACAATTAGGGTGGGAAAACCTAAAACTATCAGAGCAACTTGAAGAGGAGGAATGAGCACCAGCTTGGAAACCACAGCACGTGGCTACAAGGACTGGAAAAAGAGACAACAGCACTCACACAATTAGGGTCACCCACATGGGGAAAAAAGAAACTATGGGAATCCCTTGGCGTGAAGCACCACACAAGAATAAAAAAGGGGGAAAAGGTGCTAAAACACTTAAAAAGGAAAAGCAAAAAGCCTAAAAATGGCCGAAGACAGGAGGGCACTGGTACAAACCAAACAACCCAAACTAGCAAAACAACACTCCCCCTTCCTAATTAACTAAAAAAACGAAGTCATTCTGGCAGACTGCAAATATATAAATGCACAGAGGTGTGGAAGCACAATAGACACTAACCATTATGCAATAAGAATCTGAAGCAGGAGAAGAGTCTGGAAACATCTACCTACAGCAGGAGGACAAAAAGGAATGAACACTTCAGTTAACTCTCAGGCAAGCAGTGACTTGGCACAGCTCTCTTGCACTGTTTCCTTTTCTTTGTCATGTTTTCTTCTACTACTAGTGCAGCCTAGACTATTCTAGATGTGTTAAAATTTGACCTGTCACCTTCATAGGGTGATATCTTATGAGGTCTAATAGCAAGTGCACTAGAGAAGCTCATCTCACTAAGAATTGACATTATCAATATATCTGTTTAACCCAGTTTAGAACAATAAGCTTAATACGTTATACCTGCAAAGTTTATTAAATATAATTTTCAGTAGAATAAGTTTAAAATAGAAAGTGAGTTATCTGATGGGCAAAATACAGGATTTAGAAAGAAAATGGGAACTAAAGAAGTTATATTTGGTTTGAGAATTTTGAGTGAAAGCGGTTTATAGGTCCAATGAAATTTGTATATCTGCTTTCTTGATTTTGAACAAGCTGTTGATAAGGTAAATCCCAATAATCTTATAGAGATCTTCGAAAAATATGGCAATAGGAGACGACAGTGGTAGTAATTTATTTATTTATTTATTTATTTATTTTTCTTTACGGGCACAGGTCACTGACCCACATCCGGGCCTGGGGGCCGAAAATGTAATAATAATAATAATAATAATAATAATAATAATGATAATCATAATGATAATCATAATGATAATCATAATCATAATAAAGAATAACAAAATAAAATAATAATAATAATAATAATAATAATAATAATAATAATAATAATAATAATAATAATAATAATAATAATTATAATAATAATAATAATAATATAAAGAACCAGAAGGAAATACAAAAATGAAAAAAAAGATCAAAGTGAAAAAATATATATGTATGTTGTGTTGTCAATAGTAAGAGAAAGAATTGAGACCCTGCAATTATGTGTAAATGAGGCAGAAAGTCAGATCAGCAACCTAGGATTTGGTCACAATTTTCGTGATGCCATGTGGCGGTAGTACCTCCCTGTTTGGTAGCTGCCTAATACCTACTACCTACTAATTGGTTCACAGTTAGACAGGGAGTAAGACAAGGCTGTGTACTATCTCGAACATTGTATTATATATTTTAGAATTCTTAATGAGAGAAATTATAAGTGATAATGTAGAACTAAAATTTAATGGTAAAGTAATATCAAATACTGCTCTTATCACAGATAGTGAAGAGGCATTACAAAATCTCGTGAACAGATTATTGGAAAAAATGAAAAAAATGTGGTTTTAGAGTTATTGCTATAAAGAAGAATACAATGGTTGCTTTCATATTGGAAATATATCCGAAAATAATAATTATGGTAGGCAACAGGGAACTTAAACAAGTGGAAAAAAATTTGTATTTGGGAAGTAATATTAGCTGTGATGGTGGATCTAAGGAAGAAAAAAGAATATGGCAAGGAAAACAGCATTTAATAATCTAAAAGACCTAATGAAAAGAGATTTTTACTTAATTTGAGAAAAATGGTAAAGAAAGGCCTTATATGGCAAGGACTATTGTATGGGTCAGATGCGTGGAGGCTTTGAACAGACAACAGAAAGTGGCTGGAAGCCTTTGAAATGTCGTGTTATAGGCGAATGCTAAGAATTAGCTACACTGACATGAAAATAAATGAAGAAGTACGAAAATTAGCAAAAACTTCAAGAGAAATACGTTAAATGAAATGTACAGAAAAAAAATAGATACTTTGGTTATATTAAAAAGGATGAAAGAATAATAACAGAAATATAAATGGACAAAGTTGAGGGTCGGAGGGCAAGAGAAGGCAGAGGCTGGGATGGATGACTGAAATTAAAAACTGGGTCCCCGAGTGATACAAAACCTTGGAGTATTGATAAAAACAGTTAAAGAACGTTTAAAGAGGAAGACTGTGGTCGCCATTCCTCAGACAGTACTCTGATTGCTTGATGATTGATCCCCATACTTTATAATCTAATCTGTTTTACTGCTTATTTAATTTTATAAATTTAATTGCTGTAAAGTAATACCTATTCAATCACTTTTATTTTGCCAGTTTTCTAACTTCCTGGCGTACTTGAAAATGAGTTTCAGCTGCGTATTATTCTTAACACGGGCTTAACAGGTGTTGACACGAAAAATATATTACTATTTTAGTATAGCTGCGAGAGTTGTGTTTTCATCTAAAGATGAATACGTTGTTTAGGGATAAAAGATATGTGAACACAGTTGGCATAGCTATTAGAAGATTATCATGTATAAATTTTTACCATATCCATAACTGACACGCAACAGATAGCATTAATATTAAGGTCTATCCCTACATATAATCACCGCCAGTTTCATGTGAAAATTTTATATTTCCGTGTACGTGACTTTAACTCAGCCACTTTTATCAATTACAATACTGCATCTTGTCTACAATACGATTCATTAACAAAAACTAATGACAACTACTACTGGAAAACACTACGAAACAGTATATGTAACTATTGTTAGCTTGTAACATATTTTCTTAAGTACTTACAGTAAATTGAAACTATTTCTCAAGGGAAAACCCACCCAGCCAAAAATAATTATAAAAATAATACCCGTCATCGTACACTTTGCGTCTAAGAATGTACTCAGTTCCACCGACCTATCCTATTACACCCTCAGTGGACTGTGTGTGTGAGGCTTCGACTGTTCCATTTATCCCGCCTCAACACCATCTTCAGCTACACCACCGGCGAACACTACCAGGAGATTATGCTGGGTAAGAATTATTGTACTGTTAGCAACCTCAGGGTTATGCTCGCTCTGATTTTGGTTGGTCAATGTATATATATATATATATATATATATATATATATATATATATATATATATATATATATATATATATATATATATATATATATATATATATATATATATATATATATATGTGTGTGTGTGTGTTCTTTGCATTCAATCGAAAGGTTTCATTGAAATTTTCAGTTCATTTGACAAAAATATTGGGGCAAAAATATGTTACACCCTAAAATTAAAAATTAAGTGAGATGGTCGTATGCACAGTTCAGAGAAATAAAAAATAATAATATGAAACAGGAAAATTACCCTAATATAGATAATATATATTTCCCCGAGCGATTGATTATGTTTCTATGATTTTAGAGTAACTCAAGACCTTTAGTTTTAGTCTTATTTTCTGAAAAATTTCAAGCTTTTTTGTTTTTGAATATAGGTCTTACCGTGTTGGAAAAAATAATGGTTGAAAGCTAGAAAAACAAAGTTCTAAATTGAATATGTTTACTTATCTTTACCTTTCTTGTGCCATGTTGTTAAAAGAGGCAAGGATATTGCAATTTATTCCAAACATAAGACTCCACTCTTACCCTGGAAATTTCCCAAATACAGCATGTTCTATACTTAGAAGGTGTGGGGTCTTGGGACACTCTCATCAGCCTGTAGTGAAGCAGAGTCCACTCCACGTTTCCTCTTTTTGTTAATACATATATTCCATGCCTTCTCAGAATGAACAGGTTAAGCCTTGCTCTTTCATGTTATATATAAATGTTAGTTATATGAATAAAACAATAAGAAGAGTGGAAACATTGAAATACCAGGGTGCATCCAAACGTCAGCTCCAGCATAAATCCATATCGCCTGTAGCCGTGAGAGGCACAAGCAACCTTGACAGAAATAAGGGGGACGATCAGAAATAATTTATTTCCTCAACTAATATTAGTCGAACGTCTACCAGACTTAACCAATGGAATGGAATGTGGTGAGCGAATGTTTTGAGAATTTTTCCACCACTTCGATTTTTTATTCAGAAGTTTTTCGGAAAACGATCACATTAAATTCTTGTTCTATTTTCTGTTTGGGGGCTATTTGCTCTGTCGCATTTAATGTCTATTTTTCTTTAACTTTGATGGATGAATTCTGGTTGATTTCATGAATAAGATCTGATTTTATTTTATGACTAATTTATTCGTCTGTACAAAAACTTTATATACTGCTTTGACCGATAAGTTCCAACCTGATACGAAAATAAAATTGTGTATAATATTCAGTGTCTGCAGTGATCAGTTCTGATAATTTTTCTCTTACACTCAAACTGATGAAGCTGCTATCCAGGAGTAGTCGATTAAGTACATGGCTGACGAATATAAAAACAATGTTTACTTTAGAATAACTGTGTGAAAAAGCGAAAAGGGGGATAGGTGACAGTCATCTTAAAGACAAGAAATTTAGTAATGAAGATGAATATCCGTGAAGCATTTAATTAGTTGATTATTGGGAACTAGAACTTTCCAATCACTTGGAAAAGAAGGGAAATTTATCGATTGGATGATAACCGGGTCAACGTATAAGTAGACAAACTATTTCGGTTCTGATCAGATTATGCTCAACTTTTGATTTAACAAATGATAAAAAATACTTGCGTTGTTATAGGTCTCTGAGCCTCTTCAACGAATGTGCTTATTCCGAATTATTCTTTGTCTGAAGGTATTGACTGGCCTCAGTCCAACCTGCGGCTGGAGTGTTGTAAGTACACGGGGTTTATGGAGATGGCGGTACCCCTCCGCCTGTACACTTGGCACCAGATATGTCTGTCTGCGGACATGACCAAGGACGTCCAGTACATGATCTTCGATGACCTGGTGAGTCACCCATTTTCAAAGATATTATCTTTAAATCCGGAGTTCCTCACTAAATTATAGTTGTATCTTACTACATTTGTGAAATTACCATTTAATTAATAGCTATAACCATTTTTAAAGCATGATATGAAATGGAACATTTTCACATATGTTTAATAGGTTTCCTTTAACGTAATTATATATATATATATATATATATATATATATATATATATATATATATATATATATATATATATATATATATATATATATATATATATATATATATATATATATAATATTTGTATATATCAGGTACATATGGCACTTATTCGACGTCCAGGCGTCTCACGTGAACAGCTTCACAAAGTGCGGGGCGGCGGCCGCTTCCTGTTGGGACAGAACTATAACCCTGCAGCTGATCTTATGTTCATCGAGGCTATTCACGGTGATCTGGCTGACTTTAGGTTTTATGATGTTGCCTTATCGCTTGAAAATCTCAAGAATTTTGCTTCTTGCAAGCCAGTGAGTGAGTTGCGTTCACCTTTATATAAGTTTGAATTAAACATGACTATGTTAAAAGCAAGTGGTGACATCGAGTTGTACGAAATGAGTCGAGAGGACATTTGTTCTCAAGAACCTGATCGGGTGATGATAATACCCGAAAGAATTAATTTTGACAGATCACTAGCAATGTGTAGCTTTTTTACTGGAGACATTATCATTCCCACAAATCCTGAGGAAAACGTTGCTATATACGACAAGTATGAAGAATTTAACAACTACTGTGCAGATAGTTGGGGCACCTCATTTTGGTTTGGCGTAGTGGCAAATCATACAAGTGGAGGGTGGACAAGAGTATCAGATGGGAAGCCCCTGACGTGGGCCAAGTTCGCCCCCGGCTGGGAGAACCCCACTGAGGAACATAGCTGCATGGCTGTTGGAGCCATTAACTTCAAATACAAGTGGGCTGCATCACCCTGCAACATCCTTCAATGCCCAATATGCAACTTCACATCAACTCCTAAACTTCATTTGCGTGGACTTTGCAACCTCTCAAAATTTGATCGTTTTTACTCTCCGTATGATTACTACAACATGAAACCAGTATTAGAAGGCCTCTTCTTGAGCAGAATGACTTGGAATAACAATTCTTGGTTGATCAAGAGCCGCCTCGATGGGTCCGTGGAGGCCCGAATGAAATCAAACAAGCCAGATGACTACCCATTCGGCTTACATACCTGGGACGTGAAGGGCGACGCCTGTGGTCAGGATCAGGTATGTTAATACTTTACTTGTGGAACATTAGTGATTCATCTCTCATTATCATGAGATATCACGATTTATATTTATTTATATTCAACATCTAGTTTTCATGTTTCAGTTTATCTAAATTTCCTGCATACCGGAAAAATAAATGTTGAAATACATATGAATGAAAAATCTGCTAATATCCAATAAAATATTTTATGAATACATGTAACTAGCTTCATCCAAAGTATTGTACGCTAACACTAATATGCCGGAATCTCATGATGCATGGCGGTCTTACCATGAATTCTTTGCAAATAGGTGCAGTTACTGCTAACATCATGCGGCATTACTGATTTCACATGTAGTGATGGGTCATGCATCAAGAAGATCAAACGCTGTGACCAAGAGGTTGACTGTCCAGATAATACTGACGAACTTAACTGTGATGTTATAACGTTTCCTGAGGGATATTCTGCGGAACTTGCGCCACCGGCAGTAAATTCCCCACTGATGTCTCTCCGCATCTCGCTCGACATCACATCAATCAGGGAATTTGACATCTTGGGATTCAATTTGGCAATTGACATCATTCAAAGCATCAAGTGGAGAGACGCGAGGCTCATTTTGAGGAACCTCCGACAAGGAGACTTTCCCAACGAAGCAAAGGTTAGACCGCTAATATTTCTTTACATCTCGTTTCAACATTTGATCTGTACAGTATATAATATATAATGATATATCATTAGTTAATTAGAGCCTAAGGGAGTAGTGTGTTGTGTATTCTAGAGCTTTGATAAACTGTGGCTGCCGGACATTCTGGTGAAGGATGGGACCTACAGTCCAACCGACCTGCAGATGAGGCGAGTGAGACTGTTGGTGCGCCGAGATGCGGATCCTCTGCCTGACGATGATTCCAACTACTCAGAAGGTCCGCCAAGTCTTACATGGATTTTATATCCCTATTATGTTTTATATTTGTTTACAGTTACTTCTCAAGCAGTTGCATTTGTGCACTATTACTTTGTTGTGACATGAGGTCTTCTGCTCTCATACGATGCAGGACGTGACGTACCAATTTGTAACACAGGGAGGATGTTGGTGATACTGAGACCGGTTAAATAAGGTAATGGTGGAAGAATACCTGATAGTAAAGATGCTGGCAGGTGAGGATAATGAATTCTGGAGACAGTGTTAAAGAGGAGGTAGAGTATTGATGACGGTGGTGGTGAATTAAGGTCAAGTAGTGCAGTCCTGAAGATTTTTATGGAATAAGAAAGTGCACGAATCACCCTCTCTGTCTGTCTGCCTGTCTGTCCATACTTGTGTAATGAGAGGTATACTCATCATTAAGATACAGTGAGAATTGTTAGTAGGAGGATTACAGACTGAGGAAATTGATTGTACTTTGTGTAATCCTTGTTAGATAATCCTGTAGAGCGGTCACACAGAAGTACACAAATAATTGTTTCTGGGTAAAGTTTCCAACCCAAATTGTGTTTTCTCTCTTTATTATAGAAAATAAATCTATGCACAATTAAATTATGACATCACTGCAGCAACTATGCCACGAGCAGGCAGTTTTGGAAAGTAGGAACCGATTATAAGAAGCTTCAGTAAAAAACTAGTGATTTGAGTCAGAAAACTTGGCCAATTGAGTGTAACTGGCTAATAATTTGCCAACCTCTGCTGGACATTGGTGCGCCGGGGTCATTTAAAAGACCATGAGCTTAGATGACATAGGCGTCACTTGCATCGGTATTACTAGACAATATTTACAGTCAGTACTATAACTGAGGGATGAGGTTTTGTAATTAAATATTGTACTTAATTTGTATAAGATATCACTATGAAACTGTTAGTCATGAAAATCTGTATTGCATTTCAAATGGCTGTGCAGTTTCAGAAAAAGTGAAAGAAAAGTTGACACAGAGTATTGATGTTGGCCAGAAGTGGTGTGTTGAGTCGTAAGAGGCTGTTATAAAGTTGCAAGTAGATTATAAGCCACTACCACGGCATAGTGTGAAGAACTTTGCAACAGAGAAAGTAAAAGTTAAATTAACTGGGAGAGATATGAAGATCCCAGAGGTACAAGCAACAGGAGACTTATTTGGAAGGTTATTATACCTTGCCACAGAAATTTATATTGATCTTCCTGAAGTTGTGAGTTACCCTATTACCCCTGTGCCTGCATCTCTGGCACATCTTAATGGATTAATCAATAAAACTGGAAAATCTGTTCTCCTGAAGAAACTTGAAACGAATGCAAACAGTCAACCAACTTCAACTTCCACAGTCGATGCTTGAGTGAAAGATGCAACGATTTTCATAAGATCGGTGTCAGGTCTCCCTGCTTAAGTCCTGCTGTCAAAGTTGTGTGCTCATGCTAGACGTGTTTGGATATCTCCAAAGCGTTTGACAAAGTCCCACTTGTACAGTATGACTAGCCTCTTTAGATCCAGGCACATGGCATCACAGGCAAGATTTTGAAGTGGAATAACAACTGGATCGAAGACAGGCAACGAAGAGTGATAATAAACAGAAAACATTCTGAATGGAAAAAAAATCGCAGTGGAGTACCAAAACTGGCAAATGCTCTTTTACATTACGAAATGCAAGACCCTACACACACAGGATACAACAATCCTAATTACAACTATCTAGACGTTGTGATAGATAATTCACTGAAGGCGATGCAACAAGTGAGGGTAGCAGTAAGAAAAGCAAAAACAGATTTGGGAATTATTAAGTGTATTTTCGAATACAAAGACAGGAAAATGCTCCTTCAACTGTACAAATCTCAAGTATGACCCAGTCTGGATTACTGTATACAGGCATGGAAACCCTATCTCCCGAAATATCTAACATCCCTATGAAAGATGCAACAGAGCCACTAGGATGACTCCGGAACTACTGCATGTCATCTCGATTATCAAAAGACTAACAACCCTTGAAACACGGCACAATAGGACAGATCTAATTGAAACCTCCGAATTCTGAAAGTGAAGAAAATTGTGAATCAGGGACATTTATTTGTGGTGTCATGCGCCACCAATACGAGGGAAAATAACTATAAGATTCAAAATAGCCCTCAACAAAATTAAAAAGAACGATAGAAGGATGCTACACTGACCTCCTTACCTGGTTTTATGAAACAATGTTATAGAAAAAAAAGTGATTTATAATGTATCGGAATATATGATTCCGGTGTCGAAAATTCATAGTTCGAAACTTCTTTCCTCCCCTCCCCATTTTTTTATGAGTATAAATAAATAAATAAATAAATATGTACGTTTCGGTAGGTAGGTAAAACAGTAAGTTTGGTTAGATTTGTTCTATTTGCAGTCCTACCCCTAAATTAAAGTTCGAAATTAGAACTTTGGACACCTGAATAATGTATTTTCACACATTATGAATAATAATTCGTTTATAACACCCTTCGTTACATCAGTTTAAAGTGTACGGCCTTACAAGTTAATTTTACAAAGACTATCTAGTATTCTCGGACATGTAGCTGGTATATAAAATTCTGGGAGCAGCCATTAAGAAGCATGATTAGGTTCCAAGTTGATTTCATATAGCAAGTTGAGTTGATCTTAAGCATGGTCAGTGTTGGTTTTTTGTGCTTGCCATTTGAAATCTGCCGGGAACCAATCATCTTATATACATGTCACCAAAGTGACGATGTATAAGATCAACTCAGTCACCCTCATCGCAAAGGAAACAGGGACTCTGAAGCTGAAAATATCCTGAATTATATTAAATCAGGTGTCATTTGTTTCTATGTAACAGCTGACTCACAGCATGCCAGCCACTGGTCATTTTGCCCATGTGTTGGTAGTCCTGCCCAGTGGATCGGAACCCCAACCCATAGGAGTGCCTGAACCCTATTCTAGAATATCACCTGCCATCTTAAGCTTCGGGTTCCCGATGGTCGGGATCACCGTAGGTCATGTCAACTAAGAGTACGGCCCCTAATCAGTATGAATGTTTGCCAGAATAAAATATTCAGGAATTCCTTTAGGCTACTTTTCGTGTTAAGTTTATCTTTGGTTTTCTTTTGCTGAAAAATTCCTAGTTTCATCTTTACAGGTAATGAAGACCTCGGTAAAGATTTCAGTATAATTATATCCTCCAAGACTTGCACACGCATTCCATCCATTTGTTTTCTTCTACTTCAGATGAGTTGTACCGCGGGGTGAACAGCACTGTGAAGCTGGTGCAGCAGTATACAGTAATAGCTATGTGCCAGTTCCTGCTTTATGCCTACCCTTTTGACTCTCAGAGATGTTCTCTGGTCTACTCCATTCCTGACCAAGCAGTAGGCAAGATTTTACTTCTTCAAGTAGGTTAAGATTCAGTTTTTGTAGTGCGTTTTAGGTAAGTGTGTTATTTTGGCAGATTTTGATGAGTCTATCAGCACATATATTGAACATATAAGATCTACTTGTCTTTCCAATGTAAGTTCTGCCGTGATTTTTTTTCTTAAAAAAAACCAACTCATAAAAACTAAGAATGATATATAGTATATACAATGTTATATTAATATTATATATAATATAGACTAGCCTTTTTCACTTTTGCATTGGTATCTTGTAAGAGTACCGCTCACGAACAATTGTATCGCATTTTTACACACACACACACACACACCCAGCAGTAATAGGCTATTAATATGATTTTTTTTAACTTCTTTTGTTTAATATCATCATCACAGAAATTAAATATATTTCTATATATCTTAGTTCTCAGTAACACTCGTATTTCACGCTGTTACGCATTACAGGAGGAGGTGAAGTTCACAGGGGAGCGGCGGCTGCTGGAGTACGAGCTGGTCAACGAGACGCTCACCGCCCGTGGTAACATGTCCGCCGCCGTCCAGGTATGCCACGTGTGATTGTTGCCGTAAGTGTCAGATTTTGTAAATTAAATCAACAGAATATAAAATACATGCACACACTTAGCTTAGCTTAAGGTTGTTCGTCGTAGTTGACGACAACTCTGCTTCAATATAAAATCGATGATGATAAGTAGTAAACGAGGGATGTGTTCGGCGGTGCCACTGGATGTGGCTCTGGAGTCCGAGCTTTGACACTCAAACTGTTTTGCACATTGGGCTGGTCTCGAGAGGTCTCTGGGAGCGCGAACATTTTCTCCTTTCCCTACGTACACATCTAGCCCTATTGCTCTCGTTCTCGAGATGTTTGACACCTTGGGTACAGGTGGAGGGCCCTATACTTCTGTCGGATGCAATGGTCTCGAGATACTTTGGAAGAATGTTACATTTCTTGAGCAATGTCCTCCAGGGTTGCAGCATACCTCGGGCAGCTGCTCGTAGAGGATCTGTCTGGGAGTCGGTGCTCTGGCATGCGGATGACGTGCCCCTTCCATTGCATCTGTTGCTTCGCCAGAAATACTTTCATGCTGGAAAGTTTGACAGGCCTCAAGAGATCCGATGTGCCTTTGGTTCGTAAGTGTCACGCCTCCAAACCGAATAAGATGGGGGAAATACACACAACTTGGTAAACAAAAAGTTTGGTTGTGACTTTGAGTCTGTTATTATCGAATACTCTGCAGTGTAGATGGCCAATGAAGGCGGCTGCAGAATGGATCAAAACCCGAATCTTCTCGTCGATTTTGTGTTTGGGGGAAAGAACGCTACAGAGGTAGGTAAAATGTTCTACTTGTTTGATAGGCTCTCCGTTGACCAGGAATGCAGGTGGTGGGTCTGTACCTCTGTGTTGAGCAATTATCTCTGTTTTATGGATGTTAAATTGCAGTCCGATGGTCTGTAATACAGTGGAGAATAACCAAGAGACTGTGTTGGATAACCTCTTGGAATTGAGCAACGAGTGAGCAATCGCCAGCATAGTGGAGCTCCAGGAGGTGGAAGGTCGACGTTTTTGTTATTGCCTGGAGGCGGCGGAGGTTGAACAGGTTGCCGTCTAAATGGAATTGGATCTTCACGCCGTCATCGTCGTGCATGAGTTATTGCTGATCAGGGTCATTACTGTGAGGTAGAGATTAAAGATGAAGTGGGCCAGAACGCACCCCTATTTCACACAGACCTCCTGCAAGTACACAGGCTTACATGTCCCCATGGAAGCTCTTGAGGATTTTAAGATAATTTGGATGGATGCCAACTTTAGAGAGAACTGTCCAAAAATGTTCTCTATTGACGGTATCAAAAGCTTTCGTTAAGTCAATAAAAGCTATATAGAGGTCACGATTTTGTTCATGGCATTTTTCTTGTAGTCGACGTTTGGCAAATATCATATCAGGTACACTGCGACCTTTACGGAAGCTACATTGCTTCTCAGGCAGAGTGGATTTCAACAATGAGTTGGGCTAATCTGCAAAGCATAATTCTGGCCAATATTTTATCTGCCACAGCCAACAGAAATAGGCCTCGACTCTCGCCACTGATGGGACGATCACCCTTTTTTCAAGTAGAATACTATGATGCTCGAGTTCCGCCATTTTTGGGAACATTTTCAGTTGACCAGGTGGCAAGAAGGAGTTGGTGGAGATGCTGGAGGAGAAGGTAGCCTCCGCGCTTAAAGATTTCTGAAGGCAGGCCGTCTGGCCCGACACTTTTGTTGTTTTGGGGGCCCTTGACAGCCCTCAGGGTCCCAGAGAACTCATGTGCTGTATCAAGTTCTACCGCCGGGGGCAACTCTGGGATGGTACCCAATATGTTGGGCTCAGTAGGGTTCCTTTGGCTGAGAAGTCTACCAAAGTGTTCCGCCCATCGATCCAGGATTTACTGTTTGTCCTTGAGAGTTCACCGTGGAGTAATCTAACTGGAGTGATGCTGCGGTTGACGGGATCATGAATGGCTTTGCTGGCATAGTAGAAGCCCTGATGGTCGTTTTTGTTGGCGAAGCTCTGGATTTCTTGAGCTCTGACTTACCACCACTCGTTTTTCATGTTTCGGCCCTGAGTGACCACCAGTTGGGTCTGAGTGTACCAGATTGTGTGTTTGGGAGTAAGGTATTGTGGGCTTTATCTTTGGTAGCAAGAAGTTCGTATATGCCATTAGTGTTCTCATCGAACCAGTCCTGGTGATCTCGTCTGGTAATGCCGAGGATGTCCTTGGAAACTTCATATAAAGGCAAGCAGAGGTTGCTCCACTCATTGTCCACGTCTATTGTGTTGCTGCTTAAATTGATTGTGGGTGAAGAAGACAGAAGCTTAGCTAGAGTGCGGCGGCGGAACTACTGTTGGGTTATAAGGGCATTGAACTACTGTTGGGTTATAAGGGCATTGAACTACTGTTGGGTTATAAGGGCATTGAACTACTGTTGGGTTATAAGGGCATTGAACTACTGTTGGGTTATAAGGGCATTGAACTACTGTTGGGTTATAAGGGCATTGAACTACTGTTGGGTTATAAGGCATTGCAATTGTGTTTTAGGTTTGGAGGTCGTAATGGGACTTGGGGGAAGTTTTCAAGCCTTATCTTGGAGCAGATTAGATTAAGGAGGATGGTGGAGCACTTTGTACCTCTCATAGCCCGGGTATGGAGAACTTCTCGCTGGTCACGTTACCACACAATGATGTAGTCGATCAGGTGCCAGTGCTCCAAACTTGAGTGCATCCAGGAGGTTTTGTGCTTGTTTTTAATTTGGAATAAAGTATTAGTCACGCCTATAATATGCTCTGAGCACAATTAGATTATTATTTGGCCATTGGTTTTCATGTTGCCGATGCCCTGGCGGTCCAGAATGCGGCCCCATAGGTGAGAGTCTGTATCGACTTTTGCGTTGAAATCACTTTATCGTTATGAGGTGTCCTGCGGATAGCATGATCCAGGGACTCGTAGAAGGAGTCTTTGGCTACATTTTCAGCATCTAATGCTGGAGCGTAGATGCTGGGAAGAATTGCATAGTGCCCTTTAGTTAGAGGATGCGCCATGACATCAGTCTTTCAGTTAATCCAAACGGAATTTCTGGAACTTTGTGAAGGGTGGTATTACGAACAGCAAAACCACGCCATGCAGTTGGCGCTGGGCTGAGTACCCTTTCCAGAAAAAAGGTGTCGCCTTCTCCCACTTCCGTCAGCGAGTCCTTGCGGCAATTTCGATGTTGCATTTTTTTAGTACATGCGCTACTAGAACGGTACGCCTACGATGTATTGTCGTTGCCTCTTGAGTGTCCAGGAAAGTACGGACGTTCCAAGCCGCAACTGTGTGGGAAATCGTTCGTTATTGTGTATATTTAGACCGTATTACGGGATGCCTTGACGGCCACGGTGAGCCACCCAGGAGTTGACGAAACAGCCAATTTTTAGATCTCCTTTTCTCGACCTTTCCCCGTCAGGGGTGAGGAGTGGGGCTCCCTGAAGAGGACTACTCAGTCACATAGGAAGCTGCCGAAGGAGGATGCTGTTCCTCGCCCATCCAGCCAACGACCATCACTCCTATGCCACCTGCATGCAGGACTCGCATTAGTAGCTCTCAGCCACATCCTCGGACTGTCCCCGTCACCCTATCCCATCGCCGCAAGACAATAAAAATGTGTTGATGAATATGGAGATGAGATAATGAAACAGGATTGCCTGCTCGGTGAAAGGATTATCGTGACGGTGTGGGTGAGCTGACCCCATCACCACCAGCTTGGTCTTGATCACCAAGTTTCAGTGGCAAGAGTGTTCGCAAGACGACTGAAATTTTCAGGTGACCAGGAATGCAGGAGACTGCCAGAGCTCCAGTCGATCGAAGTCTACCTGACGCAGGTCACCCAACTGCAGCTATATAATAGGGTGAGCTTCCCTAGTCTTACGTTCTCCCGTACTAATCCACAAGGCAATGAGGGGTGGGGGGGGGTGCAGTAGTTGATAAGAGTCAGGGTGTTTCCGCACGAGGCGGACCTGCACACTGCTGCTCTGAGATTCCTTACAGAATTTGCCTGGGGTCACAAGACAGCCAGTTACCGTGCGTTGCCACGAAGAGGCACTAAAGGGTCTTCATGGTAGAGAGGCTGTGTACTTGCAGGGGAGACTTACGTCCGCAGCTCTCTCCTTTCACCACATGGCGAATTTTATTAATTAAGACAACAGAATACACACACACACACACACACACACTACTACTATTACTACTTTGCTGTCACTCGGAATCGAGTATGACGATCATCCAATTAAGATACAATGATATGAGTTATTAAGGATGTCACCTCCGTTGGTGAGTTCTGAGGTGACTAAAGTGGCCGATACGGGACCGGCAGCGTCGATCACAGATGTTGCACATGTGGAGGGCTACATCTAGTGCAGGAGGAGCGGCGGCAGCGTCTTCCGGCGTTGGCGCTTGTCTACCTCGTTATACAGTCAGGCTGATTCGAAAGTATTGACACCTTCCTGTGTGGTGATCCTCCAACCGTTACGGTGTGGAGTAATCGTCTCTCAGGTGAGGGGGTCGATTTGACACTTTTTAGTTTTGTTTTTGACTATCTTTACACCTTTTCATTTGCTCGCCCGCGTTACGTTTACTATTCGTTAGGTGACTGTAAAGTAGCTACTTTGGCAATCTACTGTCGTTCATGCGGGTAACATGGCCAGTCCAGCATTGTTGTTCATGGATAATGGTAGCCTCGATGCTTCTACAGTTGGTGTCACCAAGGAATACAGGAATTTGTTCTCTTGTCTACCCAGCAAACTCGGAGGATGGAACGTAGACTAGGTTGGTGAAAGTTTTCAAGTGCCATGAGATGCTTCCTGTATGTGACCCACGTCTCGCTGGCATATAGCAGGGTGGGGAGGACCAATCTTCGATATACGGGTAAGTTTGTCGATAATTTCAGCTCCCTACAGCTGAAGACACAGTTTCAGAGTCTGCCAAAGGCTGGAAATGCACATTTGATCCGATGATGAATCTCTTCATCG